TTTTCCCCCCCTTTTTGTTTTAAAAAAGGTGTGAGTATTTGTTTTTTTTTTTTTTTTTTTTTTTTTTAATTAGCGTTAACATTACGTAAATGTATTCTCGAAATGTCAAATTGCTCAGTATGGTCATCGGAAACTCAGCAAGTGAGGGCAACCAGAGAAGAAGGCTTCAACTTGTAAGGGAAGTATAATGTTACAGATGAATATATAATTGTTTCAACTGATTGTGTCACTCACAGCATTTGCTATTTATATCTGCACCTGAATAGGGAATACACTGTTTAAAGCTAAAAAGTAAAAAAAAAAATGGATAAAAAAAAAACTTAGCAAAACTTTGAAAATAGATGGAACTGTTTAGAAAAGAAAAGAAAAGAAAAAGTAAAATGACATCTTAGAGGTGGCATATTTCATATCCACTGTCTTGAATACAATAACTGTGGCTGAAATGCATTCATTAATGTCAAGATTAATGGAATAATATTAAGATTACAATGGAAAACAAAAAAAAATGCTGTTTTAATGGGTTCTAGTCATTATACGTACTACCACCTACTGGACAAGAGATGTAATTTCACCATCACTGGGGTTTTCCCTACCTGACAAAATTAAGACGTATGTATACACTCATTGCAGGCTGTTGCCTAACTGTGTCTTGTCTTTTCTTCTCAGATGGAACTGATCGGACATCAACAATATGAAGAGGAAAAAAAAAAAAGACACTTCATTGGAGGCCTGCTCGGTTCAGCACAAAGACAGATGTGATGCTTCAAAAAAAAAAAAAAAAAAAAAAAAAAAAAAACCCCAGGCAACGCAGTCACTACAACATGACAAAAAAACTGTGTATATGTTCTTTAATATTTTTGTACTTTATTATATACAACTAAGTTTATTAAAAATGGAATACAGATGATTATTATATTGTGGAACAGAGAAACGGTGAACTGTGTCGGCTGTGCCATGTCACCTGCAGCAGGACTGTGACATGGTCGTGCAGCGGTTCAGTTTACCACAATACGGAGAAAAAAAGAAAAAAAAAAAAGCAGTGGATTGGTGCTGTCTTTAGGGGTTCTGCCCTGAATTTGCTCTTCTTCTCTTACTGCCTTGGAACAAGGTTTTCTATCCACAACACACTGACAGCCCCTTGACCCGTGTTCTAGATTCGAAAAATAATAATAATAAATTTCCAGCCACAAGTGAGGCACTTTTATTAACTTATCTTTGATATTAGGCACTAACTGTAATTGGTCATCATGGTACACTCTCTGAGGTTTCACCTGGAGGTTGGTGTTAACCTACTAATCCTATAGGCAGCTCTAGTCAGGGCTTTAAAATTAGGCTGTTTTATTTTTTTTTTTAATTATTTTTTTTTATGTCCTCGTTGGAGATTTCGTTGCACAAACGGAAACCAGAGGACCAAACAGGAGTGAGAAATAGTTTGTATTTCAGCTTTAGGGCATCTCTTTTTGTTTCACTTCGACATATAAACTAAAAAAAAAAAAAAAAAGTAACTGTCCTCCTCTAAGCTTCAACAAAGCCAAAGACAAGGGTTGTGCGTTTGTTAATTTGTGAAAGATATTTGTAGTGAGTTGCAGCAGAACAATTAAACGAAAAAAAAAATAGCAGTGTGAAAAATTATTGCCAGCCGCAACTTGTCTTTTATTTTAACGTCCTACGTCATAAATGATGATGAATCTCATTTTGTGCCAGGGAAACCCCGAAAGGGGGCGAAGGGGCGGCTTAGTAAGAGCTGGCGAGGTTTTCACCATGCAGGAGCTTGTTAGATACTGAACTGATAAAAGCGAAGAGGCCAGAGCGTTTTCAATTTACGATCCAGTGAACGCTAAATGAAAAAAGATCTCAGTTCTCTTGTGGGGGGGAAAGGGGAACTTTGCGATTGGCTTTCGGAAAACGTTTAAGAAACGCTCGGAGCACCCTCGTCCTTTAAAAACGGCCAACATGATGATTTGATGAATCATTATTTTTTATTTTGTTTTTGAGGTGCTTGATGATGTCCATGTTTTGTTTTGTTCTTTCCTGTTTGTCTGTGTTTCAAGTCTCAGAGCTCCCTACGTTATCATCTGTTATCAGTGTTGAATCGAAAACTTGTCTTTTTTTTTTTCTTTTTTCCCCCCAGCCTCTGTCTTTGAATGTGACAGAGCCGGAGGTGCATGTTTGTGTGATAATGGACTTTTTGGATCACTTTTTGGTTGCTTCATAAGGCAGGGAAAAGAGAGAGAGAGAGAGAAAAAAAAAACATTCGTATATTATTTCAGCAGAGCCATAGGAGGTCTGTCTAGTAAAGATGGTTATTTACAGATATCTTTTTTCCAATTGTATTTTTTACTCTTCCCTTGATATTGATGACTTCTGCTTCTTTTCTATAATCGCATGTTTTGCCACACTAATGCAACACTGTTGTAGATAAGAGGACATGATGGCTGACAGCGCCAGGTGTCGCCAACAGCTAGAGACCAGTCATCTTGCAACAAATGTTGTGTTCATATCGCCTAAATGTCACTGTTTACATCTTTCTGGGATGATCCCCCGATTCATAATATTTGATGTCATGAGTAATCTATTGTCTCGCTATGTAACACAAAAGAACTGAAGCCTTCTCGCTTTTGAGATGGCTGGGTGGAGTCTAAAAAAAAAGTCCTCTGTCTGCAAATCTGTGGACTCCAAATAGCACTCAGATTTTTTTTTTTTTCCCTGTTTATACAAAGTCTGGATGACGCGGTGAGGAGAGAACAGCTTTCTCTGGCCGTGTGATTTCAAACTGTTAGCTGTCCATGTCCTGATAAAACTGTTCATCCGGTGCCTAAAATGGAAACACTCGAAACATTTATTTTAAAAGTGGTCGCATTCTAGTCATGGATTTCTTCAGAGCAGGCTCTCAGATTGATCTGACTTAGTAAAAAAAAAAAAAGCATTGCACCCACAGTCTGAACTCCAGTTTGTGAGGTAAATGCGGGCTTTATGACACGCAATCTACTTTTTCTTTTAGCAGTCCACTATGTTCATCAGCTGTGTTGTCACAAATGGCTCAGATTGTCCTTTTCATAGCCTCTGTTGCTGTCAACAGCCTATTTATTACATTTAATGGACACAGAGGTACAATACAGATTTTTGCAAGTGTGTGTTTATGATGCTGATACAGCAGGGGATGACGATGCTTATCTGAGCCAAAAATAAAAATGATGCGATGAGTAAACTGAAACACTATCAACGGGCCAAGGAATATGTTTACTCCATGTTTACATTCCAGCGATCCAAGAAATGAGTTGGGGAACTGCATTTCATGAGTTCAGCCTGGTGTTAGGAATCCAATAGAAGAGGTACAGAGCTTGTGTCATATGGAGACATCTACCAAGTGTTGCCCAGGGTTTATGATAGTTCAATTCTGCAGCCAGCTGTAGGTCATACTGCGCGTTTGTCATGTACAATTTATATTTAATTATAAATAACTTTTCCCCTGACATTTTCTAATATTTTGTGAACCTTTTGCATCACATGCTTTATTCTACTTTTTTACTGTCACTTTTGTGTGTGAATGGTCTGAAGTACAACATCCGTCGGATCATGACAGTCCAAATAAAGAGGTTCAGTTCTTTTGCAAACTAAAGTTGTGTTTTTTGTGTCCACTTGGCTTGATTTTTGTACGTTAGAGAAGAATTGTAGTTATATAATAACGTTTGTTTGCTTTTATTTTAGAAATTTGCCACAATTCCGTGTGGCTTTCACTTCCGAGTCATAGGTAGTTTCCCTCCCCGTCTGCTGTTCGTGAAGCTAACAGCTAGCTTCCTTCTTAACGTCCTTACTTTATCAGTGGAAAAGCTACGTAGTTGATATGGAAACTACTTTGCAATTGCTCAAGGTATGTTTTAATTTTGTGTATTGGCAACTAAAGACGAGTTTTACGAGTTGTTTTACCATTAAAACTAAGTCGTTTCTTTCCAGGAGTTAGGAGTAGCCAAGTTAGCAGAAAGCTAGTCGCTAAGCTAATTTAGCTTGTACCCAATGAAAACAGCTGACTTAGCTTAGCTCAGATGCTAACTTAGCAGCTGCTGTTAACATTTCTCCCGTATTTCTAAAACATGCATTATAAGTAAATTTGCGAGAAACAAAACAAACGATCCCCCAACATTAAACGGGAGTTAATGTTGGTAATGTATATAAAGTTGATGGATGTCTGAGTCTTTCTCGAAATCACAGTAACTTGGTGTGATTTAAGGAGACAGAACCTGGTGTACGAGAAAGTAAGTTAACATTTTAGTGTTTGGCTTTAAACCGAAAATAAAATGAACAGTATATGCATTGGGATGCTTTTATACCACGCAGTCTTCTCCAGTATATGAAGTTATTATAATAACGTTAACTAGTTTGAGTAACTTCTAATTTTTGAATGAAAGTAGAAAACTTAGGGTTAAATCGTAGTAGTTTAGATTTAAAACTGTTGAGCCCGTATTAAATACAGGCGGATAGATGGATTCACCTTAAATTTAATAAATATGCTTATTTCTATCACATTTTGGTTTTTGATTAAACCAAAATGATATAATAGTATGTATATTGCCAAAAATATTCAAAATCTAATATTTTTGCATTATTTACTCTGTGCATCAAATCAATATCTGAGACACATGTTTTTTTCTCTGTTTCCAGTTCCTGAGATTGCCAATTGATATTTTTTTCTGGTATTTGTCTGAAAATCTATATATTTTAAGGCTTTCATTAAGTTTTTCCATGTATGTCAATATCTTGTGAAATATCTTAAGTTTTATATCTTTTTCTTTAGGATAGAAATGCACCACAAACCTATGATACAAACAGAAACTTTCCGTAAAAAGGAAAGAAATGAAAAAACACATCTAAGCTATTTGGACTATTTCTGAGTTATCACGGGATAATAAAGTCATCTGACAAAGAGACTACCAACTCCTTTGTGTTGGTAGTATGAATGGTTTAAATGGCTGTTTTCATGTGCAGTTCCCTTTCACAGACATAAACATGCAGTGACTAAATTGATTTACAATCAGTTTTTTGCACAAGAGTGCAATAATTAAGAGTTAATAATAAACACATTTTCACATTTTACAATGTGTATAGATTTGAAATTTTAAATTGACATTTGTGACCGTATGCAAAATATGGAGTTAGCTGAAAAGAATAGTTGATGGGAGAGGAGCTAGGACTCTGAAATATTCAGAGATTGTACAAAGAGGAATGCTCAAGGCTCCAGCCATGTGAAAGTATTGTCTTTTTGGTGGTGAACAATATGTTTAATCTTTGTTTTTCCCACTAAATTGTGTTCAATTGAAAATACCTTTTTAAACATTTCTAGTATGAGACTGTTGGAATATTTTAAGACTTTTTACATATCGTTAGCATGGGTCAAATTTGTTTGTGCCTGTATGGCGTGAATTTTTTCTTGTGAGTAAATTGTGCTGTCATTTTTGTTTTTGCAGGTTGTTCAACAACTTACTGACTACTATACTTGGACATTGATAGACATCTGAAATTAGTGATGTGGATGAAAAACTTCCCGAAAGATAACTGCATATCCAGCTTATCCTATGGCGACTTTCTAGACTGGTACAACTGTAACTTCTTCTCCACATAATCTAGAATGTCATTACCAAATGAGTCGGGAAACAGAGGGAAGGAGCGAGAGAGGGGAGCCCGCCCAAAAGTGAGACAGAGCCGGTCGGAGGAGAGAAGAGACTCTGCTGGTGGTCGGAAAAGCGGGAAGGGGAAGAACAAAGGCCTCTCCACGCACGACACCGCCGCCGAGCGACCCGTCAGTGACGGGTTTGAGTATGGCGAACTGTTGAACGATCTGGAGGCCAGGAGCCAAACCTCCTCTTCCACCTCCCCACTGAAGGAAACCTGGAAATGGCAGGGTTTGGACGTGGCGGGATCCACTCCGGGGCAAGGTGTCACCGCCAAGCAAGGTCAGGGCACCGTTTGCTCTGCCGCAGAATTACCTCCCCTAGGCGAGGTGGAGGGCCGAGGCTCAAGCAGCAGCCGTACTCTCAGGCAAAAAATCCAGGATGCAATGGGCCAGTGTTTCCCGATAAAGACCCACAGTGCTGCAACGGCATCACCTCCACCCCCGCAGGCCTTTCCATCATCAGCCGCCTGCGCCTCCTCCTCCAGGCGGAAGATCCATCTCAGCGAACTGATGTTGGACGACTGCCCGTTCCCCGTAGGGTCAGAGCTGGCTCAGAAGTGGTATCTCATTAAGCAGCACACAGCCCCCATCACCCAGCCTCCCCTGTTGGATCCCGCAGCAGTGGTGTGCAGCGCCCCGACTTCAGCGACGGCCGCCGTGGAGGATGTGGACGACAAATTGCGAGAGCGCAGGCGCATCAGCATCGAGCAAGGCGTGGAGCCGCCGCCTAACGCCGAGATCCACACGTTCGAGGTGACGGCTCAGATCAACCCGCTGTACAAGCACGGCCCCAAGCTGGCTCACGGCATGAACGAGTTGGCCGGCAACGAGGGCGCCTCTGCTCACCAGCAGCAACAGATGCTTCTTCAAAGGCAGCAGCAACACCAGCTCCTGCTACAGAGCTGCTTGGACACGCTTGACGAAGTGGCGGCCTCAGC